AATATCAGATGTTCGATTTTCTTGTTATCTTTAATTTCTTCCAACCTAATCTCAAGATAAGTCAAATCAGCTCTCGTCAAAGTTCAGCTTCTCATGTAACTTGTCAGTGATGGACTTCGACTGCTACGCATGGAATCGAACACATTTACATAACTAACAAGAAACATTTTTTTTTGATGAAAGCTCTGCGCCTGACACTGAAACGCCAACAAATAAGATTGTGTGACAAGCTCGTAGAAACCTGAGGATCCGGCGAATCATATTTCGCTTTAAAGATTACTGTTAAACTGCGAGACATGCATAACACATTTTTGGATCGAAGCACCAATTTAGAAACCGCCAGTCGAAAATGGCGCCGTCCGCAAAGGAATATAGTGTCCATGAGTACCATAAAACAAAAGGCTTGACTATACATTGTGCGTTGGCTGCACGTTCGACAACGGTCTTCGAGTCTCATATTTCGAGCAGCACTACAGCTACCTGCATCCATCACTTCTAAAATAGAGATGATCAACTCACATTTAGACTTATGTGAAGCTGTTGAAAATAACCTTAAAAGCTGATATGATTCTAGTTAAACACAATTAACTATGTCTTCACGCAAAAGACGTCATCATTTGAAAAGAAAAGCGGTTAAAAGTGTTAAAGGGAACTCCTAAGAGCTTATGAAAATCACAAAAGTTAAGAACTTTCCAGTCCACCCAGACAACTAGTGTCTTACTTGATCTCTTCTTAACACTCATGACATCCCATAATTTTTTATCCGAAATGCTGTGTTGTAAAACCACACTGGGACTATCGCACAACGGGCGACTAAATTCATCTTCAGTAATATCCGCTTTCCCCAGATCACAACATTCATCAAAACTTTCTTCATATGTATAACTTACTGCTACGACATTCAGCCAGCTAATTAAAATTATTGTAAAATCCATTGTCTAGAGCTCTGACCTACACAGAGCATGATGAAGAGCGGAATAGTCATCCTAATTTTCCCCGTTGCCTACTAAGCGGAACCGACAAAATATATTCATTTTGGTTGTTGTAATTGTTGAATATCCAATTTTTTCGAGTAAAAATCATAAAAATTTCAGCAATCTCTGTTGGCATATGCTTTTTGAGTGAAATTTTCAGCAGAATTTTTCGTTTCTAAGAAACGATGGGCGAAGTATAGAATAGGAAATACTAGGATTTATTACAGCTTCCTAAACCCATTCAATGCCATACTAATATTAGTCCTTTCATTTCATATTAGGTAATTTGGCATCACCAGATATCTCAATGTATGAGGCTCAACTTCTCAAAAACACCGACATCTCCATGTTTGAAAAATATGGAAAAAGTACAAAATGTCAGATGAAAGATTTAAATGTGAAATTTGCCTATGAAGCATTTTTCATTTTAAAATGTTAGTTATATGAAAAATACTGAGTGATATGCAAAAATCTGATGCTCAGGTAGGAGATGAGCACAGGTTTTACGTCTTCCGGGGTGTGTGAAACGACTACACCACTGAGGCCATCGACCAGTTATTACTCCTAGTGCAATACAAGGTTACGAAATGGGAGGTATAGTGGATATTTTCTTCTATACCTAAATAGCGGACAATTTTAGCACTCGAGTGGAGAAGAGGCTCATCGTTTCTCTTACCATTGCTTTGTTGTGTTACTTGTTGATTAAGCCAATGGCTTAAAGATGGTAACCTTAAATGGAGATGGAAACGTTAAAACATTAACTAAATAAATTCATTGCTATTAACCTCATGTTCCTGATTCAATCAATAACAAATATACGATGGACTAGTGATGTCATAGTTGAAGGAGTGTCGGTTTACAAATTACTCGTTTATGAGTAGGAAAAAAATGCCTAGTATTGTTTGATGCGCAGAAACTGTTTCAGAAACAATAATACTGTTCACAGAAGCGGCAACAAAAATGTTGCACTAACCGGGAGTCGAACCCGGGTCTATACCTTGGGAGGGTACAATGATACCTCTACACCATTGGTGCTCATTTAAGAATTGCACGTTTTCTTCACATTTGCGGAACATATTTCCAGTACTGATAGAAATAGTATCCCTTGTAATGGGATATTATGTCGAACTACTTAGATAACAGGTTCGATTGCTCAGATAGATCACTTCTAGCAACTACAATAATACGCAACTTTTGATTTTTGATTTTTAAACCACAATAATGCGTGACTCTTATTTTTAGCAACTTCTGAATTTTCAATTGCTCAGTTTGCTGTAGAATCGTTATGAGAAAAATTTCAAATATGATCGTCGAACACCCCAAAATAAAGCTATTCTATCTTAACTAAATTATGTCGAACTACTCAGGTAGCAGTTTGAGTAGTCGGCTAGACCACTGCTAGGGAACCACAATAATATGAGTTTTGATTTTAGTAAGTATTAATTTTTGATTATCAACCACCATAACGGGTCACTTTTAGTTTTGGTGAATTTTGAGTTTTAATAGCTCAGTTTGCTGTAGAATCTTCACAAGACTGTTTCAGAATTTGATTTTCAAACACCCTAAAATAGAGCTACTTGATCTTTTGCAGACAGCAGTTATAATCGTTACGCTTAGCGCTATTCGTAAGAACAATGCGATTTCTGTGATTAAATCGAAGAATGTTCTTTTCAATTCGAAATCATTGCTAGGCCTTCGCCATTCTTTGATGGCACCACGTTTTTACATACACCGCACCATGTATACTCTACATATAAAACTCTTGCGTGTAATGAGAATTTATTTGCTCACTATACAGTTGTGCTGCTGTTAGCGTTAAGTCAATTGTGAAGAAGTTCTATGAAGCATATTACACTATAAAGATTTTGATTTTCCAATTTTTTATTTAGTACGATATCGAAAAGTGTAAAATAGGGATTGAGAATTAGAAAGCTATAAAAGTCTCCAAAAAGTGACGCTGCCCACTGCATGCGGTGTCAGTTCGCCGATAACTTCCAACAACTTTTCAATGTTAAGATGCATGGGCGATGCTTGCAGTATAGAAAAAACTTTCCTAGAAGGCTCCTCAATGAAATTCGATTTTTAAGACATTAAAATGATCGAAATTTCTAGTGTTTTTACAGCATTTTTCGCAGTATTACGATATTTCATATATAATTAAGAGAACTGAGTGGTGAGCAAAAATACGTATGGATGGAAACGGCCCTGGTATAGATGAAACGCGGGTCCGACTCCCGTTTGAGGTTTATTTTTGCTCACCATTCAATTCTCTTAGATATGTATAAAGCATTAAAGTGTCCCAAAAGCCGAAACTTCGCTGTAAGGATTATCGGTACACCCGCCTTGAAGTTCGGATGATAAGCTAATTACTTTGAAGGTCGAACGTAGCATTCTCTTCGTTGTTACAGCGCTCTAAGGACTTTCTGGAAACAATGCTAAATGTTAAAACTGACTTTAACAAGCTATCAAATGACTACTGAATGTCCCACTAAAAAATCACTGTCTGCGAAGAATACTGCTAAAAGAACAGATTAGCACGCACGTGACGGAAGGTTAGCCATTGATCCATGTTTGTATTTGAAAGCACCCGTTCTTGGAAAAACATCGCATGAACAGCGATTCAGTAGGCGTTTGTTAACTAGATGCCTTATATTGAGGAGTGAGTGGTGTCACGGGTGGTGTAGTGGAATCACGCGCTTCCGGTACGGCCAAGGGGGTCCTTCACGCTCCAGGTTTTCGTTGAGCGCCATATCTTTGTTCTAGGTTTTTTGTGAACAATTCGGACTAATGGGTCGGTAACCTTGCCCTAGAGCGCTTGATATTTCGAGAAATCCGGTCGCTAACGGCTCGCGTTCATCGTTTGTCGTTGAAGCGCATCACGTGTCCGGCTCACTTTATTTTCAATAAGGATTCAAAATGTCTTGAGCTGCTAGGTCTAGTGGTATACAGGCGGTTGTTTCGTCCTATTGGGAGTCATCAATGCCACCCTCCCTCGGTTCGGTGAGGTTAAATGATCCTCGATAAAGAAATCGACGCCGAATACTAAATCACCCCAAGTCAGGTCATGTACTTATCCGATCTGTGGCGACCGCCAGTCGAGTACATAGCTGTTATAGTGAATCATACCTTTTCTATAGAGCCCTCAATTTCAACGCCTGGTATGTAAAACGGCCTCTTTGATCTTCGATCGCTGATGTTGCTCGGAACTTCGGATCCTTTCTCTTATTTGTGAAATACGAGATACTCCTAGTATCGACCTTTCGACTGCACGTTCAATAACGCCAAGTGATCTTTTGTTCTGCTTATGCAGTGAACAGCTTTACCGTTAAAGCAGGGATAGCTGTCGAGTCGAAAAGGTGGGTACGGAGTCGGATGCTCCTTGTTCTCTTCACTACATCCTCACGCTCTAAAACGTTCCTCAAGCCGCTCGTTTCCTCCTGCTCAACTCTGGAGGTGAGGTCGTTTATTGTATTGATCTTACGACCTAAATATACGTAAATGGAGCATGCGGAGAAGTTCGTTTCATTGAGCGTGAATGGGGCATTCAAAACTCATCCGTTCCTCATGAACATCGCTTTCGTTGAATTTAGTTGAAGGCTAATCTTTTCAAAGTCGTTGTCGAAATTTGTCAACATCCGTTGCGCTTAGCTGATGCTTGGTGTTATGAGAACAAAATTATCAGATAACAGAAGATGATTCAAATGCCGACCATCATTTTTCACTCCAATACCGTCCCATCCTATTGTTCGCATGACGTTTTTGAAAGTGGCAGTAAATAATTATGACGAAACTGTATCGCTTTGTCGAATCCCTCTCCTTACGTCGATGGCAATGTTGTTGCAGAACAGCGATATTTTGGTTGTGAAATCTTTATATTAGCTCATCAAGGATCGTTATGTATCGACAAGGGATACACTGGTTCTCCAGAACCTCTATAACCGCTTCTGTTTCCAATGAATCAGCTTTTTTCGCAGTGTCATGATGTTACATGTATAACATAAAGAACTGAGTGGTGAGCAAAAGCTCCGCCTCAGGCGAGAATCGAACAGGCGTTTCATCCTATCAGGGACACGCGCTCTACCACTAAACCACCGAGGCACATTTGCCTGTCCACTCACTCAAAGACTTTCTAGAAATCGATCAAGGTGGGACAGAGCGGTACTTTACACTCTCATGAAACATCGCTGAGTCTTGTGCTTGTGTGAATTAAGTCTATGGTACTGATTCCTTTTCAAAACCCTGCTTGTTCTCATGGCTGTCCTTCGTCCTATGTTCTGCTAATCCTGTTTAGGATGACTCGAGTGAAGAGTTTATAAGCAACGGGCAGCAAGCAGATTGGTCGATAATTGCTTTTGTCGTGAAGTTCTTCTTATACGAACAAGAGCTCAATCTTACTCGTTTTCCATTGATTTTGAACCTTGCATTCTGACAGGTAGCGAGTGAAGAGCCGAGCAAGGGTGCTAGTGAGAACTGGTGGTAGGTTCCTCAAATGTTCTGGTCTAGTCCTGTCTAAACCAGGTGTTTCTCTATTCTCCAACGGCCATATTACGAAGCTGTAAGTGGCCCGTCAGAGCGTTGGATTGCAAGTATCTTGGTTTTGGAGTTGGCGAAGCTTCGCTGGGCTTTGCGAGTGCTCTTTCTATTTTCTGCACCTTCTGCCATGCTTGCTGCTCGTCTCTTTTGGAACTTCTCTTATCGGTTCTCTGCAGCGCTTCGCAAGTTCGAACGTGGGAATTCGGTTGCCTGTGGGTTGTGTAGCTTCACGTGGACGTATCAGCTCGAGTGTTCGTAGATACAAGCATCTCTTCGCGACTTTAGGACTTTCGACTATCATAACGTTAGCGTGAAGAGATATAACGAGCCGCTCGTGTTCATCGTCAATGCTATCGACATCGGTACCTTCCCCAGTGCAGATTAATGATCTGAATACATATTGTACCTTTATTTCGAGTGTTTTATCAAGACCGCGCTCAAATTTCTGTTGATCTCTTTACTACTATTTCAGCCAACATGTCATGTGATCTGGTAATAGGCTCTTGTACATTCCGATACACGTGTTTCGACCTTACAGTCTCGCTAGTCTGGCAGAATCCGTCATCTTTCAATCTTTTTAGGCAATCCTCTCGGGAGCCCTACTCTCCCTACAAGGAGGTGCCGAAGACGAGCGCTTTACACTGTCAGTCAAGTGAATTTATCACCGATCTTGCATCGTTGTACGCTCGATTGCCCTTAGGCTTGGCTCGACATGTTGGCTCAAATAATAATGGAGAGATCTATTGAAATTTGAGCTAATGCAATATGACAAAATGCCTAACATGTTAATGCAGTGTTAGTCAATGCTTCTCTAACACCTCATTACCATTGTTATTTCTTGAAATTTCATTCCTTGTTCAGAGGATCACTGCTCAATTGACATTGAAGTTGTGATTGCAACTATATTTATATCTAATAGCTCAAAGCAACTCTTACTTTTGAATGCTCTTGGCTTTTGTAACTCTTGCAAACGAAAAAGCGACAAAAATTGGCAATAAATTGATATCTGGCTTTTCTCTAAGTGCAGATTCACTATTGAGCCAGCTCCACAATGATGTTATGAGACCAATTTAGTCGGCTAGCACTGCAATGCGTTTCGTTTTCTTCAAAGCAAACTGATTCGAGTTGACGCTTTAGAGTCGTCCGTCATCGTTGTAGTCTTTGTCTTTGTTCTCGTTTGACTCTCATCTTTTGTGAAGGAGCATTGCAATGGGAAGATCACGCTCCAGTGTTCGTTTGATACAGGATGGTTGTTGTTGGCAGTAGCTTTCTAATGATAATACTCGTTTTCCACTGAGCAGATCATCCTGCAGTAGAGTGTAATTATTGGCTCGCAAAAACTTCATAACCTATTTGATTTGAACGAGACTGAAGGCGAGGACTATAAAGAGGACGAACGAATGTAGAGCAGTGGATCAAATCAATCGACTCTGAGCAAATCAAACTCGTAGGCGAATAAAATGGTTTAAGAGCTCCGTGAAGTCGGCTGTTCATCTAAGAATAGATGATCGACAAAAACTGAAATATATGGGACAGCTTTGATCTGAATAGGTTGACGTCACCATAGAAGATCCCCTGAGATTTTTTCCATAAGAGACAAAAATATAACTAATGATGTAGAGTGGTGTGGCAAATTTTCGCGTCAAGGGGGGCTCGAACCCATACCTCACTCTATACGCGAGCGCGTGCGTCAACCCGTTGCACTACTAATGCCCGTTTTGCCCACCACTCTTTCTACGTCACAACGCGTTATCTGTCAACAGCCAACCGTCCACGGCCTGGCTTGGGCAGCTATTATCGGCAGTGAACCCACTTATGCTGACAGATATTGGGTTTCAATAATTACGCAATGCTTACTGCTATCAAACAATCATTGAAACTTTAGAAAGCTAGACAACTGCGTTTTTCCTGAGGGCTCGAAACAGGGTACGGATAACGGAGAAATGCCGGAAGACACACGATTTTCTGTAACGATTTTCAAAGCCTTTATAGGACTGTTTTCTGAAAACCATACGTACGTTTCGACTGTGTTGTTCGCTTCATCATTGGCCCACCACCTCACACTGAGCCCTACTTTATACCAGTGGTGTGGAGAGGTTGTGGCGATAAAACGTTATACTGTATATCACCATTTCTTAAATCTATGGATTACGGTTGGCAGTAAATAAGTAGAAGTCCAGTCCATTAACTGTTTTTAAACCTCGCTGTATATAGTCTATAAGAATGTTCAAGGCATTTGCGAGGTTGCTGCGTGAGAGCCGTACAGGCGAGGGTCTTTTTCAAGAAGCATATGCATCATTGGAATCAGAGAGATTTGAACTATCGAATGGCTACTCAAAGTGTGAGGGAAAAGCTTTGCTCAGCTAGAAATATTTGAATAAGGAACGCAATTTTATTCATGCTTGCTAGAGCTAAATGTTGAAGCCATGGTGAAAACAAATTACATCTTTGAAATGTTTGGGATTTTTGCTGTTAGATCAAAACTATATCAAAAGATCGACTGTTTTTGAAACCCCCAAAAAAACATTCAATATAATTCCAAAAAAAGAATGATTTAAGCTCAAAAAAGGGGTTGGTAAGCCCAGGGTCATACACCGGTGTTTCGGAGGTTCGTCCTCCTCATCAGTGACCCCCGCCACATTCAGCCCTGCATTGAAGCAAGGAGGGTGGCGTATGTGGTGATGGCACAGTGTACTATGACACTGTACCATCACCACCTCTCAGTCGATAGATTTTTGCTGTTAGATCAAAATATATCAAAAGATCGACTGTTTTGAAACCCCCAAAAAAACATTCAATATAATTCCAAAAAAAGAATGATTTAAGCTCAAAAAAAGGGGTGTAACCAGTCACACCGTGTCGGAGGCGTCCTCCTCATCAGTGACCCCCGCCCCAATTCAGCCTGATTGAGCCGGGGGTGGCGATGGGGAGGCCAGTGTACTAGACACCTTTTTGAGCTTAAATCATTCTTTTTTTGGAATTATATTGAATGTTTTTTGGGGGTTTCAAAAACAGTCGATCTTTTGATATAGTTTTGATCTAACAGCAAAAATCTATCGACTGAGAGGTGGTGATGGTACAGTGTCATAGTACACTGTGCCATCACCACATACGCCACCCTCCTTGCTTCAATGCAGGGCTGAATGTGGGGCGGGGGTCACTGATGAGGAGGACGAACCTCCGAAACACCGGTGTATGACCCTGGGCTTACCAACCCCTTTTTTGAGCTTAAATCATTCTTTTTTTGGAATTATATTGAATGTTTGGGATTGTGCTATTAGGAAATGTTAACACTGAAGAAAAAGCAAAAAGAAGTGTTTTCTCAAGGAATCATAAAGAGGTGACGTAAGAGAAGATATTCAAAATTTGAAAAAACACCCAGTCTTTTTTTGGTTTCGTTGGCTACAGCGCTTAAGAGGCTTTGTCAGAAAACAAATTTATCTTAGAAATCTTCGAATTCGATTTACGACTGCCATACTAAGCAGTCTAACTAAATGCTTTGCTAGCAAAAATGTATGAATGCAAATTATAATTTGGTTTCGCTGTTCCTACTCAATATTCAAGCGTTTCGAAATAAAATGCACCACGAAATTGTTTCTCATTACACTATCGAATGACTACTAAGACTATGAGAACAACTAGAAAATGGATTTTTCTCAAGGACCGAAGCAGGACACGGATAACGGAAAGTCATCACCTGCCACCTGTCACCTGTCGTCCCGTTGATCGTCGAGTGACTCGAGCGGGTACCAGCAACTCTTCCATTTTTCCCTATCGCGTGCAAGAGTAGCCCAGTGGGTCCTCCTTGCTCTAGGAATTCGCTGAGCATCATATCTTTCTTCCATCGCTTTCGTGAAGAAATCGGACCAACGGGTCAGTGGTCTTCCTTTAGAGCGCTTGACGTCCCGAGGAATCCAGTCGGTAACGGCTCTCGTCCATCGGTTGTCGTTGAAGCGCATCACGTGTCCGGCCCACCTTATTTTCGATATCCTGGCGTGTAGAACGGCGTCTCTGATTTTCGATCGTTGACGTAGGTCGGAAGTTCGGATCCTTTGTCTCATTTGCGAAATACGAGATACTCCTAGCATCGACCTTTCGACTGCGCGTTCGATAACGGCAAGTGATCTTTCATCCTGCTTACGTAGCGACCAGGTTTCTGCTGCATACGTTAGGGCAGGGATAATTGTCGAGTCGAAAAGGTGGGCACGGAGTCGGATGTTCTTTGTCCTCTTCACTACATCTTCGATGCTCTTAAACGTTCCCCAAGCCGCTCGTTTCCTCCTGCTCAACTCTGGGGCTAGGTCGTTCATCATGTTGATTTCACGACCTAGATAGATGTAACTGGAGCATTCGGAAATTGTCGTTCCGTTGAGCGTGAATGGGGCATTAGAAACCCATCCGTTCCTCATGAACATTGTTTTCGTTAGATTCAGTTGAAGACCGATCTTTCCACAGGCGTTATCGAAATCAGTCAACATTCGTTCCGCTTGGCTGATGTTTGGTGTTATGAGAACGATATCGTCAGCAAAGCGAAGATGGTTTAATTGTCGACCGTCAATTTTCAC